CCAGCCAGTGAGACACTCTGGGGGGGAGGTTAGAACTTGCTGGACTGATAACATGAAGTGGGTCCCCTTGGGGGCAGCAGCATGGCCCTGCCCATGACCCAGTGCTGAGAGAGAGGGGTTCTTGGGGAGGGGAGACTGAAGGCAGGACTGGGGCGGGAATGCTCAGGAAGAAAGACGGTGGTACTGCTCCCTCTGCAGACACCCTGCAGCAGAGTGAAGAGCCACGCCTGCCCTCAGGAGAGGACAGCAGCCATTGGCTCTTCACCTGCCCCCATAGACTCAGGACCAGGGAGCGGAGAGTTGTCATGGAAATCTTTACCCAACTCCCTTAAGCCACTTGAGGTGGGCAGTGGAATCCTGGCCTGTGTGCAGTGTGCACACCTGGCTCACAGTGGGGATGTGGCCCCTACATCTCCCCTTCCTCTCTGGTTGAGCAGATGCAGGAGCTGGAGCAGAGGCTGCTGGAGGCGGAGCAGAGAGCAGAGAACGCTGAGACCCAGGTAACAACCAGGGGAGGGGATTGGTGGGCACATGGTGGAGAAATGACCATGGGCCTTTCCTGGCCCTTCCATGGACACATACGGACAGACTTATCACACTGATGAGCTCCTTACAGGGACAAGAAAAACCAACAGTCAGGTGTTGGATCTGCACAAATGAATGTGGCTGGACTTTTCTAGGGGAATGGAGGAGTCTTTGGGTAAGGGTCAGGGCAGTGAGTGGGCGTATTAGTCCAAGTAGGCTAGGCTGTGCTGCTGTGGCACATTAAGTCTGAAACCCCAGTGGTTTATCACATTGGTTCTCACTCATTGTACCCATTCAGTGAGGCTTAGCAGCAATTCTGCTTCCATAGACACTCAGGGGTCCCGGGTAACAGATGCCCCCTCAATCTGGAGCGCAGTTTTGGTTGCTATGGCAGGGAAAGTGAGCTAGAATCATTGAAATACTTTAGATCTTTTAAATACTTTAGTCCAGAAATGATGTGCCATTCCCACCTGGAGCCTGTTGATTGGATCAAATGCATGGCCCCATCTAACAAGAGGCTTTGGAGACACTGAGAAGGAAGTACATGGAAATCCAGTGAGCAGTAAATACTCGTGCTGCCACAAGGCATCTCCTAGGCCATTTGTCCTGCCCAGCTCATCCCTACTGGGGACCCCAGAGATGGATTGCTCAAGACCCAGCCCATTTTGTCAGAGTAACCAAACTGAGTTTCTTCCTTATTAGTTGCTTATTTTGCCCAGATAAGGGATTTTTTTTTTTTTTTTTGAGACAGAGTCTCAAGCTGTTGCCCTGGGTAGAGTGCTTGCTTCAGCCTTTCAAGTAGCTGGGACTACAGGTACCTGCCACAACGCCTGGCTATTTTTTGGTTGTAGTTGTCATTGTTGTTTGCCAGGCCCAGCCTGGATTCGAACCTGCCAGCTCCATTGTATGTGGCTGGCACCCTAGCCGCTTGAGCTATAGGTGCTGAGCCCCAGATAAGGGACTTATAAATGTTCATTTAATTACTTGGTCCAGACAGCCCTGGGTAGGGGCTCTGGCTGGGAGTCATAGGCTGGGGCTTCAGGAGATGTCCCATCCTACATCAGTGGCCACTGCACATGAGGGGTGTGAGATGCTTGAGTTCATTGGTACTTTTCAGGTGGGTGTCATGGAAGAGAAGGTAAAACTGTCCAACCTGCAGAGTGTGGACTCAGCAGGCAGCCTGCACCGGAAATACCAAGCACTGCTGAAAGCCATGCAGGGCAAGGATGAGCTCATCAGCCAGCTGGAGGCACAGCTGGAAAAGCAGGTAAGGGCCCACGTGCACCTGAGCACCACTGCCTCCAGCATCTGCACCCCCATTTCTCAAACTCCCTTGTTAGCCTGTTCTTTGATGTGGAGATCGATTATAGGAAGGTCTTTCTTTCACATCTGCCTGTAGACGCCAGGCAGAGGATATAGTAGGTGGAGGGCCTTGTAAGGGAGACCCACCTGGGTATGGTTCCCACTATCCAGCACCTGCTGCTTCTGTCTATGGATAATGTGCTTAAGTTACTACTTCTCATTTCATGTACTGATCAAAGAAGAGTTAGAATACCTCATAGGGCTGTTGGGATAATTCACCCTGGTGATCTGTGTGTAGTATCAGATACAGGTCAGTGCTTGGTAAGGAGAGTTTTCCTTCTCTCCTGGCCTTGTTGTGTCCTGCCAACATGTGGTACCTGACACTTGGCTGTAATATAATCAGAGCTGCACAGAGCTGGACGGTCAGCCTTGGTCAGTTGGTTGGGCATAGTTTCCCATTGAACCTGAAGAGGCAGAGACCAAAGTTGCCGCTGCCTCTAACAATTGGGCGCCCCTCTTCTGAGCATGGGGGAGCCCAGGATTTCAGCTACAGTTAGTATCTTTGCTCAGAAGAGGACTTCCGGAACGTCCCTCTGCCTGCTTCTCCTCTTCACAATCTCGTTACCTCCATCCTAATTCTGACCCTGCCCTCTGCCATTGGCCTCACTACCCCACTTCTCCCTGGTGCCTGAGCCTGATTGTTCCCAGCTAAAGACCCCACAGTACATTTGGATGACTTTTAGTCTACTGCATGTACTATCTCCTTGGAGGTTCTGACTAATCCTGGAAGCACCTTCTAACCATCATGGGCAAACGTGTAATCATCAGCATTCACTGCACATCCCCTTAGCAGATGTGCCCTTGTTTGCTGCGGGGTACTGTGTGTTCCTAAAACATCATGGGATGGTAGAATTTGTGCACCTGGATTCTCCAGTCAATTTTTGCATTGATTTTAGAGATACCTTATCTTCTCTTTTGAGGGGTTTGATTAGAAATGGCAGCATCTTGGGCATTGGTGGGCAAAATGACTCTTTTTTTATTTTTTTTTATTTTTTTGAGATGAAGCCTCAAGCTGTCCCCCTGGGTAGAGTGCCGTGGCATCACACTCACAGCAACCTCCAACTCCTGGGCTCAAGCGAGTCTCCTGCCTCAGCCTTCCAAGTAGCTGGGACCACAGGCGCC